GCCGGTTCTCATGTTTCACTTCTCACCAGTGACGCTCAGAATTATCGTGTAAATAATTTTAAACAGATTTGGTCATCGCGCGAACATACCGAGTTAGAAATATAGTTTGATATTCAAAGTAATTCAAGATCAAATGATCAAATACATTTTCAGTGATGTTATTCCTTTCAGGGTGATAAGATGCTGATAACCATATAGAAGAGGGTGGTTTGGACAATGTCTATATGGTTTCTTCATATTTTATGTAATCGACGCATATAGTTAATCCGAAATATTCATCTTCTATACAGGGTGACTTTGAAGTTGAGTCATTAATTTTCAGATAATGATTGTAGAAGGAAGATATACCAAAATATGTGTGTAAAAATAAAAAAAAAAATAAAAAAAAATGTTACCTTGTTTAATAAAGTATCCTCCCGACAAGTATTTCAGTGCGGACCTGTATTTGATCGTGCGGTCTTGGAGCAGCATGCCCTCACCTGTGAGGTCTTAAGTCACCTGATTCACGAGCCCTTTGCACTACATTAACAAAGGCACGAGGGGTTGGTTGCACTCGATTGGGAAACCGATTCGCATAAATCCGTGATGCATCCGGGAGCGTTTTGTAAAGACTGCCCCCCCGTAAATAAGAATCATGTCCACAAGTTCAGCATTTTCGTAAACATGTGCCATTTTTGATTTCGTTTGAGCCACGCAACACACTACTATTCACTCAGGATTTATCGACTGACGAAAAACATCGTGATAAACGTTTCAAATTCTTTCGCTTTTTTGTTTCCGATGCGATGAACCGGTCAGGCGGATTATATCCGTTGTCGCCAAACACGAGCATATAATAGGCAGGGCGGTACTCAAACTTCCAAAGGGCTATAACTTTGTTACTTTAATTTTACCAGAAAAATGGTAAAGGAAAAAAACATTTCTTTTGATCAGATCTACTCACTGTTAAAATAAATGACTCAACTTCGAAGTCACCCTGTATATGACGTCATATTTTGGGACACCATGCATCTCTGATTAAATAATTTTTGGCTGGGCCCGCATGTCCTGTGCATACTAAAGTAAATGCTGGGTGCATCGGAGGTATATTAATCGTTTGTTAATATGCCAGTCTTAGTATTGATATATCCAAGTGTACTAACTATAATTTCATCTTTGAGCCACACCCTCGAATACCCGTAAGAGAAGAACAAAGAATCCAGATGTTCTTGTTACCCCACATTATTCTTGTTTACCAGTAATTTGCTATTACAAGGTTACGCAGATTCTAGAGAGCGCAAGCAATTATGGGTGCATTTACAGTAATCAGCGTATAAACAAATCCTCCATAAGTAGAAACAAAATCATATTTACAATCTGCGTCGTTAGGAAAAGGTAAAAGATCGATACCCCCTCGGTCAACAGTACAGTGAACATAGGCCATTCTTATTTTCGACAATAAAGTCAATGCCGTTACTATGTGACCTTTATTCATGGTGTGGGGTGTGGCAAATAATCAGTTTGAGTTCGGAATGGGAAATCATAAAAACAATTCACTTCAGCTTCTTCTTTTTGTCCTGGGAAGTGTGAGGACATTCTTGTAATCATTTTATTTATTTAAAAGATTTGTACTTGAATTAGCTTTAGCACAATGTTTTCTGCTAAGCACCGATTTATCACATTTTCAATGGCTCAAATTACTTGACAATCTTGCTGAAGTTCTACACGTTGGTCGGTAGTAGCGTTAGTATAAAAAATGTTATCATAAAATAAACGAACAATCAGAACTTAAAATGCCGAATTATCACAGAGTATTTAAATATACAATTAAAAACCACATGTCCGTATCATAGAAATTGCCAACTGCCAGATATCAACCGAACCTGGTCCAAACCATAGTGCGCTGCAAATTGGCAGTAGCGTTTATTGGCCTGTAGAGCTAGGTATAGTGTGAAAAATAAAACCCCTACTTCTAGGAAATTCTGTTTTTTTTAAATAACTAAGATTTAGCATTGTCAATGCCACACGTTACATATTTTTGGAATCAGAATTAAAAACTCTATTTATATATGCAAAAATCCAATATGGCGACTATTAGAAAAAATAAAGTTGATGCTGGATGAGGACAAGAGACGAAACATCATATTGAAATTGTAATTATATCATCTTGTTGGGGAGAATAAGTGGCGATGTCAATGTGCAATTTATTTCGAAATTCCACTAAAACAATGCCAGGAAAACATTATACGATTTTTGGAAAATTCGGTTTTTTCCGTCTTTCTCCTGCAGGGCTATTACGTAAAAAGCTCGATCGAACGTAAAAAAAAAACGAGAAAAGGTCCACTTGTCCACTAGATAGTTCCAAGTGTGCGAACGGTACATTCCGCGTTTTTCGCTATGAGCGTTATCAAAACCATGCTGCAAGATGCAACTCAGTCCCCCTTAATGCTTTGTTGGTTGCAGAATGTCGGGATAGTCTGCAGACTATTCTCTGAGAAGATTATGTGGTTGAGTATCAGAGTGGCAAGATCACACCTGGAATCTCGACGATTGATGTGTGTATTGGTCTGCATGTATATAAACTCAGTGATATTTATTATGTGATAAAATTACTACTGAATATGCTGCCCGTGAAATATATCTAGTAGCTGTGCCAGAAGGTTAATTTGTCCTTTCTGGAGAGAGGTTATGCTCAAAGTTATACTTTACGATTTTCTCTATTTTTTGGCGGTTTCAAAAACTTTTAGAAGCATTCCGAGAAATCAACAGCGCGCCTGCGCCACATCACAGAAAAATGTAAAATGACGCATCACATACAAAACATTTTCGCACTGCCTAACATCTACGCGCTGATTTGAATTTTCTACTTGACATAATAAAATAAAGTTCAGTAAAATTTAAATGACTGGAAATGAAAATTAATGTGAAATGTAATAACTGCGCAACTAACTTTTAGATTTACCTACTTACATTTCAAGTAAGTGTATTTGAGACAAGAAACCAATGGAATTATCATCAATACAGATTATTAGCTCACTGCCATGTCCTTCCACCTATAGTATACAATTTACAGCTTGGACCTCCAATAATGCCATCTCTGAGGCAGATGTTACATCACATCAGAGCCAAACATTGACAGCTGACGTTTAGGCAACACGAACAGCTACGGAACCAGTACACGACAAGTGTACAACAGCTAGTGCTAAGTTGACACCTTGTAAAAAAACCTACATAATGTCACAAAAACCTATATAACGTCGAAAAAAAAAACGACATAATGTCACTTTTCAAGATACGTAATACGGAAGTACTAGTGATTTTCAAATTGTTCTAAGCGGCATCTTGTTAGTTACCTGAATACTCAACTTTGCCTCCCGTTTAAGCTCCTTCGTATCTCTTACAGTTTCCGAGATCCCAATGGTGTGCGTCGAATTTGAAAAACCCGGTATATCATTTTATCTACCACTTGTACAATCACGTCCCCACAAACCTTAAGTCTGTGTCTATGTCAGCTTTTAAAAGAAGTTACAGAAAATTTCTATTAGATGAATTAGTGTTTACTTTATATTGTTCCTTTCTTTTTTATATTTTAAATGTTTTTTTTTTGTTAAATCTGCCTAAAATGATTTGACCTTTTTCGTTAAATTATATTTTTTATATAATTTCTTTATATACATATTTTTTTGACGTTTATAATTATTATTTATTATTAATATTAATTTGGTTAAGAACTCCTCTGTTGTAATTTTGTTTGTTGGGCTAGTACTTTGATCAGCTCGTCTGTTTACTAGTCCCTTTTGCAGGGAATTCATGTTGTTTCTTCATTTTTAATTTTTTTCTCTTTGTATTTTTTTGCTCTGCAATTAAACGCTATTATTATTATTATTATTATTATTATTATTATTATTATTATATGCATATCCGTATCTATATGAGCTTTGCTCGTTCGCTGCCTGCTGTATATGACAAATTGACAAGTATTGGTGGATGTTCGAAAGCAGTTTAATAATTCATAGTTCATACATATTCCATCGTGTTATTCCATTCAGCGCATATAAAGTTGTTTTCTTAGCTATCGTTGCCTATGATTCCTTGGCTATAATCCATGACTCAAGGCTACTGGAATGCGCCTGCGATGGTGGGGAAAAGGCGTACTGCGTCACAGCTTGTCAGGCAAGCCAGCTGTTTTTCTGACTTTTGTGTGGAATCCGTCGGTGCGGTTTGGTAACTCCGTTCAGCTGTTCACTGTTTTGATTCTGCTGCATTGTTTATATTTCGGTAAATTCGCCATGTCCGATTCCGACCCAGCCACCGGTAGCACCGATCACGCATCCGCTAACAATGAAAATACTCAAAAAATGGAAGAATTCCCTGAACCAGATGCGAAAAGAAGGAAAATCTCCAACAGACCAGCTGATGATAAGAAATCTAACTTGGCCGAAAGGCTGGGCGGAATTTTGTGCTGCGTTGTTTGTCTAGATCTTCCTAGAGCAGCGATTTATCAGGTGAGTTTCTATCATAAATATGTTATGCTTTTTCCTTGTTGAAACGCAGTTGGGAGGAATTGCGTAATACCAGCTTTCTTTGTTGAGCTTTTGCGTTGCAGAAATCGTGCAGATTTATTGATCTAAAGCGCAACGCAAAATAACTATTTTATATAATGATGCATTACAGTATTACAGAACAAGGTCCTTATAAATGGAATGTGTTAAGGTCTTTGTTCTGTATCCATTTTGTCGACTGCTTCGCAGCCATGCAGTCTAATTTTACACCATCATGCATGACCTATTTTTAAACAATGAGCAGAGTCAACTGCGCATTATTTTTGCCATACCTATTACCTGAATTCCTTATGTTTATATTAATCTTCAGATGTTTATAGACGTTAGCTTAACCACCATGTACAAAATGTTCCTTTGTAAATTTTTATACAAAAAGTATCACTGTAATTTTTTAAGAATTGTAAAAAATCTGGATATTGTTCTGACATGTTATATATTTTTATATAACTGCAACTATGTGATTAGATTATTATTAGTATTACATTTCATCTCAATTTTTTGTGTTGATGTTTTAAAAAATATAAATAAATACATTGAATTTGATTTCTAGTAGTCATTAATTTCACTTTAGATTTAGAATTTTTTCCCCACACCTTAATTTTATGTTGTATTAGAAGTGGCTGCACTTTATTTTGATCCATGCAATGGCTTTTGCCAAAAACGTGAAGGTAGGTGTATGAACGATTTTCATATTTCCAAGGTCAACTAGTCACTGCATGGTTCTTTATTACTCTTTATATACTAATTAATGTGCAGTCCACAATATTAAAAAAATTAGACAGTGAGGTAAGATTTAGATGGTTTCATCAACAAACAAGGTAAAAGGGTAAAAAACATTTGAATGGCGTTCAGATTTTTTTACATTGTTTTGGAAAACGTATTTATTATTTTTATGTTAATTCCAGGGTATGAAGAGGACTGGTAAGTTTTTCTCTAACATGTTAAAAACTTTCCATTTTATCCTCCCCAATACGCGATTTTGAAATGACATCTCCGATCTTATTTAATCAAAAATGTGTTCAGAAATGTTGCAAAATAATTATATCTTTGTTGACATATTTTAATGAGGTCAATGCTTACATTGTACTTTGAAATTTTAAATGCTCCACAAAGATATTGTGCATGCGTGTTTACTTTGGTCTTTTTATAAAAGAAAAAAATAAGATAAACATATTAAAATTGATAGTAAATATTTTTATTGATTCATTATTTTGGTGTTATAGGAGTTCTAAACCAAAAATAAGAATTTTCAGTGAATGTTTCAAATAAATAAGAAATTTGTAAATCAACTATGTTTTTTAAGAGCAATCAAGGCAGGTTTGCATTAGAAGAGAAAACATCAAAAAACCATGTACACATGTCCGTAAAAAGTGGTACAGCATATCCCTTATCTTAGGCAAAATTGGAGCAAGTATGCATTGCAAAAATAAATCCATTTGGTTCAAATTTGTATTTGCGCATTCTGGCCGCATTCTTCAACTTTGTGGTTTAAGAGGGATATGCCATATGCCGCGTTACACTTGAAATGAAGCTTGAAACTTGAAACAAATGTTTAAATAAACTGAGCGGAGATTGAACGTCAAGTTGAAAAGGATTTCCATTGAAAAATTAACAATGGGGTGATAGCACCAACCACGAGAATTTAAAATAAAATAAGTTTGTTGCTGAAAAGATTTGTAATAGGCGCCTAGCAGTTATTCCATAACTAATTTGTAAGTTCAATATTAGAAGCATTGTCTCATCATTCTTGTACAGAACACTTATCTACAGTTTTGAACAGTTCCAGCAACATACTAAGTTAATTTCGAATTCTCTTGTTTGGTGTTCACCACCCCTAGAATACAGAATTTATATAATGTATAATTTTTCATCCTGGTTGGGACATTAATAAGTATGTGATGAAGGTTTTTCAGCTCCTTTACTACACTGTCTGTGACGCATTTGTATATTTTATATTTTATGTTTTTGATGTGTTAAATAGTGTTTGTCATTAGATGTATTACAATACGGAAGCCACCTCATTCGTGAAATATATGAAATTCCGTTCCAGTTTGATCCAAGGAAAATAAATTTATCTCTATACACGGAAGCCAGTTTTATTGACGCCGTTACTGGATATAAATAGAACTAGTAGACTAAATACAAACAAAATTTTATCATTATGCTAATCTTACCCTGACAAGGTATAGGTAACTCACTTTGAAAATTAGAAACAGATAGATTATTAGACAGTTCAGGAGTTTATAATTACTGTTTAATTGACTTTGTAAATAATCTTTATGCCAATCTTCTCTTGAATAGCAGGTAAAGCTTACCAATATTAGCGAGATTTGTTTATCCAGGATCCGCAGGGAGACAGTTATAAAAATAATAATAATAAGTTTATTCACGTTAGGTGCCTTGTTTTATCTATATTGGGAGAGATTGATATAGAAACATACACGTTAGAGCAAGATCGTGAATGAAGCGAACTCGACGTCAAGGATAACGACTCTATGGACTTTTAATTCGCGTTCTCGGTCTAACATACGTGTTTCTCAGTCTGTCTTGCACACACACTCATTACATACACGTTGTTTCTAAATAGTAAATACAATGACATGAAATATATATTTTGTGATCTAGTATGAAACGTAATTACGGAACAAAAATGCTAATATGAGACGTTCTGATAATGGCACATTTTACGGAAAATTTCTTGGATGTTTGAAACTTGTAGGTGTACACGTAAAGAGCAATTAAATTCATCTATAATGTACGAAAGGTCGAAAGGGCAACATCGCAGCATCGATGGCCCAGTAATATTCGCAGCGCGACGTTGCCATTTTATGTTTTTAGAAGAATTATAAGGGAATTGAATTGTTTCTTATTGGGTGTACTTTTATGGAATATTCCATGAAAATTATGTTTGTTCAATAATATGTACATTGAGAGGTGGCTTCTGTAGGGCGGTCATCACCGCCGTCATTTCAATGTCATACTAATCTAGCGCGCGCATTTCGTGTGCGCGCGCGTCCATGTTGCAGTGCGTGAACGGTCACTTGATGTGCGTGGGGTGCCTCACGCATCTGCTGGCAGACGCTAGGTTGCGCGACGAGACCGCCACTTGTCCGACGTGCCGAGTAGAGATCAGCAAAACCTCCTCCACACGCAACTTGGCTGTGGAGAACGCCGTTTCGGAATTGCCATCCGAATGCCGGTACTGCGGCGCTCAATTCCCCAGGAACTCGCTGGGAAGGCATGAGACACAGGAGTGCGAAGACAGGTTAGTATAGGTTTACGTTTGCAGTCAAGTAGTAAAATGGATTGTGCTTCTATGTGGTTTTTCCCATGATGTTAGGTCTACCAGATGAATCCGCCAGGTTTGTGCTACTCCTTATAACCGTCGAAATTCGCAGGGTTATTACGTAAAAAAACCTATATATTGTCAAAGAAAAAACCGACATGTCAACTTGCTGACTAGATAGTCAGCAAATAGTTCATTCTGCGTTTGCTCGCTATGAGAGCTGTGGCGTCGCTAAAAGCTTAATCTATGAATGAATGACTCAATGACACCCTCAATGACTATGCGGCAAGTCAGTTCCCAGCATGCTTTGCTGGTTGCAGAATGCCGAGACAGTCTGTAGAGTGCTTTCACAAAATTTTTGGGATCAACTAGTGGTTCATGAGCATTGTTTTTGAGGCTCGGATTTAATAACCTGACGTAGTGGCCACTCCTGTTCATAATGACGATCTCGCGCACGACTGTCCCATTCACTAAGAAAGCAACAATATTTGGTATATCCCAGTTGCATTCCAAGATGAAGGGCTATTACCTTTAAATCTGCACATATGGCCCATCCATATTCATTATAACGGGTATGCTCTAACAGAACTCGCATATTTTCATATAACTAAGCTTAGAGGAATCAATGAACAGGCGCCAATCATTTGGATCATGTTTCTGTCCTAACGCGTCAAACAAATTGTTGACATCGGAGCAATATATCAACTCCTTTTCTTGACGGAAACAGTGGTCTTGTTGCCGTTTTCGGTAAAAAGTAATGTTAACATCACCGTGGAGAAGATCCTTTTAATCTTGACGATAACAGTTCTGACTGGGATTTTGACAGATTTAATTCTCGAACTAAGTCATTAAGTTCGCACTATGTAATCAAATGCGGCGCTGTTGAACATCCTGGCAGGTCAAACGAAGGATCGAAATACAACATATATGGTCGCCAACTTTAATTCCAAAATATGGTAAATGTAGCAATATGAGATTTTATGTATTGTAATTCATAAAAGTAGATTTTACCGAATATCTGTGGGCGATAGAAAATTTCTATTTTTAGGTTTGATTCAAGGATCTCAAAATACATAAAATACACCCAAAAATTTGCCATGTCAAAAATCCTGTGTTTATCAGTGTTATTAGCACACAAATCCTTACTATGCACTGCCGTTTCCTTCCAGAAGTAAACAATATACAGCTTACACCTCGAATAATGCCATCTCTGAAGCATATGTTACATCACATCATAGCCAAACAAACCTTGATAGCTGATAGCATCAAACTAAGATTTATATCCACTACTTGAATATGGAAGAAAATATAACCGCAAAAGGTTCATATAAAATTTTTCCTCAGGCCTTTACTATGGTGATACTAGTCAGAAGACACCTATAGTTGAAAACTGACCATAATTTTTCGTTTGATGGATATTATTTTGTAGACAAATAGTATTTTTAGAGTTTTTATCTTTTCCAATGACCGTGAGTGCTAAAACTTCAGACGTATAATGCGCTGAAATTGTGATGTAATCGTACCACACGTGCGAGGTCCGTAAATTAAGTGATAGGACTGATTTTTTTTAATTTTTTATTCAAATTTTTGTACAATTTTATATTGTCACCCGCAAAATAACTTCTTTCTGAAGCCACACAGATCTGGTGACGGTTCATCCACTCCTCAAAGCAGTGCTGGAAATGTGATAATGCAAGCCTCAAGCAGCTCGGTTACAGACGTTTGAATGTTTTCGACTGTCAGAAAACAAATTCCCGAGACGTTATTTTTCAACTTCGGGAAAAGAAAAGTCACAATGACTCAAGTCAGGCGAATAAGGAGTCTGATGAGCCACAGGTATGTTTTTACTGGCCAAAAACTCGTTTATTGACATTGCTGTGTGACAAGGAGCATTATTGTGATGCAGCACCCAGTTGTTCTTGATCCGATGAACCGTGGTGTAAGTTAAGTTTAACTCTTCCCTGATCATTATATTATGGCAGTCAACAGATGATCTGAACGCACAAGATCCCGGATTATGTAGATATTTTCATCTTGAAGATGAAGGCCTTGCGCTTCGTGGTTTATCTTCAATTGACTCTCCTTTCTGAAAATGCCTTAACCACCGAAAAACTTGGGCTGCTGACAAAACACTATCTCCGTCGGCATGCTGAAGTTTAGCAAGAGTTTCCGGTGCACTGTACTCAAATCTGAAGCAAAACCTGACAGAATAAAAAAATCGCTGCGGCCAAGCAAATACTTGAGCGAGTTTAAACTTGTACTGAAGGCGGATTACATGTTCGCCTGTCTCCTCCCCAAGTCCGACATTTCCAGCGTTGTCAGATCGCACGCTACGTTGCCAGTCTCGTCACTTAATTTACACACCTCGTAATAAGTTTTTCCAGGCACTACTCTTAGAATTTGATCCTACTTCTGCCATAGAATGACCTCTATGGCTTGACGGCCACAGAGTACTAAGTTATGGTACGACGTTAGACTTCACACCGTGAGATTGACAGTTGTGAATCGTAAACAATACCATTAGTCGGTCCTTGTCAAATTTGGCCAGATATTTGAAGGAAGTTATTCTGTTGAGTCTTAACTTCAGCTTCAATATCGATGTATTTTTTTCAGAATTGCAAACTGCAAATATAGCCGCATCGGCTGTCCTTGGCGGGGCCCCAAACATGAGCAAGAGGAGCACGAGAGCGCGTGCGTGCATGCAAAAAAGTCCGGCGCTGAGGTGATGCAGGCATTGCAAGCCCTGGACGAACAGACGGCTGATGAAAAGAAACTCTACAATTCGATATTTGACTTGCTCGGATATGATAACATCACATTTAATGGTGAGGAGTCGTGATAATAAAACATTAATTCCAATCTCTCTAGTGTCAATTTAAAAAGATTTATTGAAGGTCATAGCTATTTAAATATTGCGGGGGCGGATTTAGGAATCTGTCCAGCGGAGAGGGTGTGGCTTAAGCTGCTAAGCAGCGTCTCACGATTCAGGTCTAGCAGGGTAACTTGTACCCCTCCTCACGCTAAAACCGCCCTTGATTATTAATATCGTTACATGTACTGAAAGATCTTCCTTAATCTCCACAGCCTCTATATTTGAGATAAAGGATCATAAGTTCTGGCATCATTACGCATGGGGAGTGCAGAGTCGAATTCTTTTTCTTAAAATATGAGTAGTATCAATCGATTCGAGCGATCAAGAAGTAATGATTATACAGGGTGACCCAGAAGTCGACGTCATGCCGGAAACGGGAGATAGGCCAAGTTATAATAGTTATCAGATAAATATAGAAAAATTCTAAGTCGTGTACTTTGTACTTTTCAAATTATAGGCTTTAAAAAAATCGAAAAAATCTACACCCTGTGATGATCTTCTAATTCCCATTACTACAAATTTCACTTTTTTTTAAGGAGTCACGGAAAGTGTCATTCTACATAGTAACCGCAAGACAGTATCGCTAATTTTATTAATTCGCGAATGTATTTATTAAATTCACAATAAATGTTCAAATTGTCTTCCTTCAGAAGCAATGCAAGCTTGATATCGTCATAAAAATGATCGGGTTATCCGTCTGACAAATCTTCCATTATTAACAAACTCATCTGCTTCCGTTATTCTGTCCCGTAGCTCAGCTAAATTTTTGATCGGCTTTGAGTAAAATTTTTCTTTCACCGCTCTCCAGTAAAAAAAATCGAGTGGATTTAAGTCAGGTGAACGGGCTGGCCACGAAATTGTACCAGTCCGCCCTAACCTTCTGCTCGGGTATTCCGCATCAAGAAATTCTCTAACTGAACGGGCATGAACACATGTCTCTGTAAATCCTTAGTGGCACGTCTTCCAATAAGTTTTGTAAATGATTTCGTAAAAAGTCTAAATACATTTCGCTATTCAGGATCTCTGGCAGCTCAAACGGTACAATGATTCTCTCATTTACTACATGCCACTCGTGCAAGTTTTGTAGATTCATGTAAACATCTTTTTTATATGTCGACTTATCAGTTCATACAATTTTCTCTAAAAAACAGTGTATCTGTAACATTGCTTGACAAAACTCTTGAAAGGGATTACCCGGGGTTGTAGAGATTGTACTCGCTGTACGTGGTATGGGTGGAGCATGTTCTTTCGCAAGTTTTGGTGGGCTGTGCTTTTGGGCACTACCGTGTTTGCTTCTATTTGACGTACTGAATTACTCGGGTCTGCTTCGACTGCTTGTGGTCCTCGTAAGAAAAGAAAATTCTTCACTACACAATCATGAATTAATAAAAGTGGCGTTACTCTCTGTCTTGCTGTCACTACGTAGAATGATACTGTCCGTCACTCCAAGAAAAAATTGAAACTTGTAGCAATTCGAACTAAAGGATCATCACTGGGTATAGATTTTTCCTATTTTTTATAGCCTATAATCCGAAAAGTACACGACTTCTGGGACACACTGTATATTATTTTCATATGTTGTTTCCAACAGTACTTCGCGAATAACTAGCCATGTTTGAAATCGATTTTCTTCTGTGCTGTTGAGCTAAGAACAAAACAAGTAAAAGAAAGGTGTCATATTTTCAGATATACAGTTGAAGCCATACCGTACAGATGAGTTTATAAATCGCCTGTACTACGAATCGTCGAGGTTCTCTGCATTTGGCAATCAGTGGGTTGTCAAGGCAAGGATAAATAACACACAGAAAGATCCCACACAGAGCTCAGAACGGGATATGACTTACCAGGTAGGTTTGGAATTTGTCAAATATATTTTATTTGGGTGAGTGTTGAATACACTTTAATAGTATATCATAGTCTAAGATCCTAGAGATCTCAGGCATTACTTATTTTCTGAAAAACAAAACGCGGGGTATTGAATTGTGTTTTTTATATAGTATTAACGCCTGCGTACAAGCTAAGTTAAATAGAGGGCCGATTTACTGGTACCAGGTGAGGAAGGTTAAGTAGAAATAAGGCGAACTCAAAAACATTAAAGGAGCAAGAATGAAATCCAAATTTTTCGGTGATTTTCGACCGCCTGTATTTCGGTGAAAATGGTTGTATCTAGACTCTAAAAAAAGCAAATTGAAGCTTCAAGATTATAGTTTTCAGGTTTTTTAGCCGCACAATTTTAGCAGCAACGATTCTCATGCAAATCCAACAGATGGCGCAAGAAACGCTTTGTGCAATACTTTGCCACATTCTTTTTAGTCCACTGGCTTGAAGACATTTTTTACGTTGGGCCATCAGATAGCCCGCTTATTCAGCTTCAATACCCTGTTTTTAAAATCGCGATACGATCATTTGGCGCGGAGATATCTGACTTAGAATGAAAAAGGATCCTTTTGTCAAGGACCACTGATATCTCTGATCGCACACTGCAAATGCAATCTTCCAGACATTTTTTTTTTTTGTTTCCTTAGTTTTGTCTTGTTTTGGAAAATCTACCGCATTTTTGGGACTGATAATGAGAATGCTAATGTTTTTTATACTGAACTAATAATGATGTATGCACATTACTCAATAATAACTAATTAACAACACAAAAACATATAAAAAATTACATGAATAGTCCATATTTTCAGCACTTTGTGTTCATCATCAGACCTCGGCGTGCAGTTCCAGTTGAATTATCTTTTTAAAATTAAATAGTGTGTAATTTTTGAACGTAAAAGACAGATTATCATATAATAGCATTGTAACTAATGATTTTTTGTAGACACCTTTAAAATGTGAGGGTATAACTAAGGAATGAAATATCCTTGTATTTAGTTGACTTATGTCGCTATATCATGCTAACTTATGCAAATATCATGATTGTTTGTTGGCCAACACCTTATGTGTGAGTGTTAATAAGTGACGTTTTTGCATTCCTTTAATCTGCAGAATACCAAGCTCCTTAAATATATGCATACCGTGTAATTTGCTTTGTTCACTGTCTTGATAGAGTGGGCCAATATATACCTGATTTTTGACATAATTAATGTTTCACGCTCTTTCAGTTTCAGTGAAGTAGACATTATTTGCTTATGCTGATAAAATTGCTTCAAAATGCACATGTAATGAATTCACATGCTTTTTGTATTTTAGTTCTGTGTTAATTTAGAGTCAAAAGTTCTTACTCCTACTCATTATAGGAAGCCGGTTATCTATATTTTAAGGTTAATTTCCGTTGCGATTGATGTTCCTTTGTTTTTTTGAGCCGAAAACCTTAACCGAAGATTTAGAGTAGATTTTTAGGTTTTGCGAGCACGAGATATCTACCAGCCTTGTTAAATCGTCGTTGATTAATGCCGCTGTCATTTTAAAATATTTTCGTTACAAACTAAAATAAAAAGAGAGAGAGAAAAGTAAAGGTCACAATATGGAACCTTGAGGACACTGTACTTCAAAGCATATGACTCAGCCATTTTGATTTCTATTTACAAATAATAGCATATCAAATTGACTGCAGTGCCAGTAAAACCATAGTACAACAGTCTCTCATATCGAAAGCTTTTCTGTAATCTAGCAGAACCAAACAAGTGATATTTCCTTGATCTAGGGCTCTTATAACATCATCAGTGATATGTTTAAGTTGTATATTATTTTTTACAGTATCATTACTTCTCTTTATGTCTGAACTAAACAGTTTTAAATATGTATTATCTCTTTCAGATAACTTTGAAATCAAGATCAACACCATTGAATATAAGCTACCTCGCATTGGCTGGACCAGTAGGTGGAGTAGAGGTTCGACCTCGTATCTACGAATTTGAGTTCTCAGACGATCACACAGAAAGCAACTACGTGCAATTACCTCTCAGAGATACAGACGAGTGTAACAGGCTTTTGGCAGCGAAAACTATAAATTTCAGGTATGTTCTCTTATTTTCCTTTGATTCAGCGTCTTCACGTAATGATTTATAAAGTCACTGAATCTAACTTACCTTGAGCTTACAACTTAATTACGGGTGTCGGCAGTTCACATATCTTATGCCGTTAGGTCAAGTCATAAACGCACTATATGTTGTGAATATACAGGGTGGCCAATATCTAACTGACTGATTCAAGTTGCGCGCCATTTTTGATACACGCATTCCAGTATGTGGCGCCGTAGTAGTTGTTCACACATGGTCCAATTCATCATGGAGCGCTACACGATCTCACAACGCGTCCGTATTGTTAAGACGTTTTACTTAAATAATGAGTCAGTTGTTGCAACGATTCGGAAGGTACGACAAGATTTCGGTCGAAGTAATGTGCCCAGTGTCAACACCATTCGACAGTTGGTGCAGAAATTTGAACAAACAGGTGAGGTTAAAGACTTGCCAAGGTCGGGCCGTCTTAGAACTGTTCATACTCCGGAAAATATCGAGAGAGTTCGTGAAAGTGGAGGGGTGTGCCCTGAGACGTCTACTAGAGATTGTTCTCAAGAACTGGGTATTCGTCGCACGTCATTATGCACTATTTTAAAAAAGACGCGTTTGCGGCATACAAAATTCAGTTAACCCAAGAACTACAGCCTAGTGACCATGTAATTCGCCGACAATACAGTCTTGCAACATTGCAGCTTAATATCCGAAATAACCATTTTTACCAACTGATAATGAGCGATGAAGCCCACTTCGATATGAACGGATTTGTTGATAAGCAGAATTTATTGTCGTATCTGGGCATTAGAGAACCCTCGCGTCATCCATCAACGACCACTACATCCTCGTCGAGTCACAGTTTGATGCGGTGTTTGGTACGGAGTTGTGGAACTTACTTCTTTGAAGACGCTGCAGGTAATTCTCTTACTGTCACTGGCGAGCGCTACCGTGACATGGTGCAAAACTTTCTGGCTCCTCAAATTCAACAATTTAACCTGGGAAACATGTGGTTCCAGCAGGACGGAGTAACTTGTCACATAGCCAGGGAAACAATGAATCTTTTGCGAACAATATTTCCGGGACGTTTAATTTCTCGATTTGGTGATGTCAACTGGCCACCAAGGTCATCGGATTTAACGGCTCCTGACTTTTTTATGGAGGTTTTTGAAAAATAGTCTTTATGTCAACAAACCGAATACTGTAGAGCAGCTGAAGAACAATATTACGGAAGGGACTGAAAGTATTCCTCCCAAAACCTGCCAAAAAGTGATGGAAAATATAACCAAGAGGGCTGAGGTTTGCGCGGCTTCTAGAGGTGGACATTTGTCTGATATTATTTTTCATACATAATTTCTAAGTTTCAATAAAAGATTAAGATGAAATAATGAACGTCTTTTATTTCATTTCACAAATATTCAAGATACAAGCCAGTCAGTTACATATCGGCGACCCTGTATTAGGAGACCAGCTGGTAGTTTCCGTTGCAGATGGTATAGAATTTCAGGTAACTTTGCATACCACGTATCTAGCTCGCCGTCGATCTCTCTTACAAGGCAAAGATTGTTCCGACGATGTTTAATTTGATAAGCGAATTCATAGCAAAATTTTATCTCTTTTCAATTAACCTAGCTACATGATAAATTGACCTTTTTCGCTCTAAAAAAGCATTTGAAATAGAAGATCAATAATGCTATTCTCAATTGTACCAAGTACGAATATATTAAATGCTTAGTCGTTTGAGAACATATTTCAGGACTTTGACAGTAAACGGAATATAAAAATTTTTTTGAACACTTTCATAATCTGTCTGAAATAATTTGTTACGCTGCCAATATTGAGTGGGAACTTACTAAACCGAAAAATCAATAATAGTCTTTGGAAGTACAAAATTCATCAGAATATTTTGCAGATTTCTGTAAATTGGTACCAAAAGGATACTATCTGGCAATAACTGACTTGGTGTTATAATTCTTAGATAGTTTTGGATCAAGATACATATGTTTGTGATAATGCTTTTTTAAACCTTAATTATGTAAAAATAAATATCGCACTTCATTAGCTGTGCAACATTATTGTGCCTTAATACTGTCAACACCGGGTTTGACGCCTAAAGTAAAAAAGTTGAACAGCCTTGCTTTATAGATAGGTATTGTCTGAATCCAGTCTTATTTAGCCTACATCTCCCTTTAACACTGAAAACTAAATTTGTCTGACGGCTTGAGTCCAATGTGTACGAGAGAGAAGTGTGTATAGACACATATGCTAGAAAGAGATACAAACCCGCGGCATAGCGAAGCTCGTTACCGCGTTGCCAATATGTTACACCATTTCCCTTAGTTCCTCTTTACGCCCAAATAATGGTTTTATTTTGAGCCTACTCATTTTAGAATTGTGTTGAATGTTGAATCTGTTTAGGATGGATTTCCGATCGGTTTTGAAAGCGTTCCATTTTAGGTAGAAATGAAAGGTCAGGATCGCCACAAATCCTGTAACATTGCATCCTTGGTTCGTTTGATAACACCGCTTCTTGTTCATTCTACGGCAAGGTTTCCACCTCCATGATCATGGTTGCGCGATTTTTGTCAATACCATCCAGCGCTCGTACGGAAGTGTGGTCCTGCTTAAGTTAAAACACAAGTCGCATGAAAACAAGATATTGAATGTTCGAACAAACCTCCTTCTTGGATTTGACAGTAACCTAACCTATTATAGAAGCCTTTGCGAACATTTTCTGGTATAACATTGATTGGCAACGCGGTAGATTGCACGACCTTCTGCGTCACCGTCGCTAGGCAATGTGGTAATGATCTTCGCTCTTCAGCCAGCTTGTCTTTCTAACATATATTATGTTGATACGCACTTCATACACATTGAACTCAAGCTGTCAGACAAATTTGATTTTCCCTGTATATCAAACTACTACCTTACTATTGGAACATTTGAATGACCATATCTATATCTCATCGCTTATGATGGTATGATAGCCGTTTCCTTTTTCAGGTTAATCATGTTTTATTCACAACACTGAAGAATCAACTTCACTTCACTTCACATGAAGTATGTTCTATTTTTTAGAGTGGCCTTTTTAAGTTTCTTTTTTTACAATAAAGTTATGTCTAATATGTAACAATAACTTGTTTTAAATTTTTTTTCGTGTTTTTATAGTTATATAAATTATGACTTTGTAGATCTCCATAGGTGATAAGTTTAAGCCCCATGACTCAATAATTTTCATATAAAATGAAGCCATTTTATTATGTGAAAAATATATTTATAGATTGTTACCTTATAGATTTGACGCCATTATTTATATCAGAGTTTTATTTTATAAATAAACTTAGGACTAATACTTGTATAAAACTACAAATTTTGACCATAATAACCAAAATGTTCCGTCTTTCTTTTAGTTTTATCATAGTATTAGGCCAAAATTGTAATGTATTAATTTGAAAAATTATAAGGGACAATGGGTTAAGGTATAGAAATAAAAATTATGTATGTTAAAAATTTGTTCATTTATTCATTGATGGTTCCCTTAAACAGCTGTGATAAATGTGCACTGTCATAATCGCCATATAGCAAGAATACCATTTTCACCCCCAGTCAGCAAAATGTTGGTCTGAAAAATATGACACATATATGGAGAATTGGAATGCATTCACAAATTGTTATTTTAATCTTTTATTAAATTGCATTTCATTCTGAATTTGAGAAGCTGTCATTATATGTCCCAGAAGTCGACGTCAAGCCGAAACCGGGTTATCACCCACTTTGCCTATCGGCAAAGTCATAACACCTATCAGAAAAATATTTAAAAAAAATTTATGTATGTGTTTTGAAAATTATAGGTCTTTGAAAAAAATATAGAAATTTCACACCCTACGGCAGTCTGTCAACTCCTGTTACTACAAATATTAACTTTTTTTGGATTTTATTTTTACAATGTAATGATGAATAATGCATCTTCAAACTGGTGTCTCAACCTTATTGCCAAATTTTCTCGTTCAGGAAAAATTGCCACTTATTTCCCAACCAAGTATTCCAAAGTAAAACTTTGCTCAACTTTAACTGGCTGTACTGGAAAAAAATGTACTACGAGAGTTTGGCAAGTAATCTTAAAAGTTGGCGCATTTAATAAGGATTCCAAAATGGTAGAACACTTAGAAGACTACTCGTTAACTTATGCACAATTTTTATTTGAAGAAAAACTGATGAAAATTTTTCAAAATTTCCTAATTAAACAGCGATTATGAGGACCCTTAAGGATAACTGTTTGCACAACAGTGGGCGTCAAAATGCTGCTGATGATGATTTACCTTTACAGCAAATGCTCAAACTGTTTTCCTTCAGCCGCAATACACGCTCGACATCTTTTTAAAAAAGATCGGGTTATTAAACGAGCGAATCCACGGTTATTAACAAACTCAGCTGCTTCCAATAGTCTTTGGCGTAGCTCAGCTACATTTTGAATCGGCTTGAAACACTTTTTCTTTTACAGTTCCCCAGTAAAAAAAATCTAACGGATTCAAATCTGGTGACCGGGCTGGCCACGGTATTGTACCAGACCGCCCTATCCATCTGCCTGGAAAGTTTTGATCGAGATACTCTCTCACTGAGAGTGCATAGTGCGCTGGGCAGCCATCATGTCCCTGTAAATACTCAGTGGCACGTCCTCCAATAAATTTTCTAAATGATTTTGCAAAAAACCTAAATAAACCTCAGCAGTCAAAGTCTCTGGGAACTCAAACGGACCGATTATTTTACCATTTAGAATTCCTGTCCAATGGTTTATCTTGAAGCGATATTGAGATTTATCTTCTCTCATTAAATGTGGGTTTGCTACGTGCCACTCGTGTAAGTTATGCAGGTTCATGTACCCATCTTTCTTAAATGTGGTCTCATCTGACCATAAAATTTTTTCAAAGAACCGTGGATCTTCCCTGTGTCTTTCTAACATTGTGCGACAAAAAGTAACTCGGGGCTCATAATCCCGGAGCAGAAGAGCTTGAACACGCTGTACGTGGTATGGATGGAGCACGTTTTTTTGCAAGATTCTATGGGCTGTACTTTTGGGCACACCTGTTTTTAGTTATATTGTACGCACTGAAGTACTCGGGTCTTCTTCGACAGCTCCTAGCACCACGTCTTCGTAAGGAAGGAAAGATCTTCCCTCACCGTGTGATTGGTTTGGTAGTTGGCCCTCTGAGAACAGTAAGCGGTGTACATTTGTGAACACTCGATGATCTGGATGACGAGCTGCATTCGGGTACCTCTCACAGTAAAGTCTCGCTGCAGCACTAGCGTTGCATCTGTATTCCCCATAAATGAAGTGCATGTTAGCATATTCTTGTACGGTGTACACGGACATAGCGGCACTGCACAATCACACTATCAAAGATAGTCTAAGGAAAGCAAATGTTGTTTTGAAGAGCAATTAAACAGTCCAAATCCAAATCACAAGCGATCAACAGTCCAGTTCACGAATCCAAAATTAGTAACAGTACGAAATCAACAAGCACGAACATGTAAAGATGCGCAGTAAACGAAGGAGTACTGATCGGTATCAAAGTGTGCAATAGCAAGTAAGTGATGTGCTTCATCCATACTACATACAGCGTGTTCAACCTCTCCTGCCCCGGGATTATGAGCCCCGAGTTGCTTTTTGTCGCACAATGTTAGAAAGACACAGGAAAGATCCACAGTTCTTTGAAAAAATTTTATGGTCGGATGAGACCACATTTAAGAAGGATGGGTACATGAACCTGCATAACTTACACGAGTGGCACGTAGCAAACCCACATTTGATGAGAGAAGATAAATCTCAATATCGCTTCAAGATAAACCATTGGACAGGAATTTTAAATGGTAAAATAATCGGTCCGTTTGAGTTCCCAGAGACTTTGATTGCTGAAGTTTATTTGGATTTTTTGAAAAATCATGTACAAAATTTATTGGTGGACGTGCCACTGTGTATTTACAGGGACATGTGGTTTCAGCATGATGGCTGCCCAGCGCACTATGCACTCTCAGTGAGAGAGTATCTCGATCAAAACTTTCCAGGCAGATGGATAAGGCGGTCTGGTACAATACCGTGACCAGCCCGATCACCTGATTTGAATCCTTTAGATTTTTTTACTGGAGAACTGTAAAAGAAAAAGTGTATTTCAAGCCGATTCAAAATGTAGCTGAGCTACGGCAAAGACTATTGGAAGCAGCTGAGTTTGTTAATAACCGTGGATTCGCTCGTTTAATAACCCTATCTTTTTTAAGAAGATGTCGAGCGTGTATTGCGGCTGAAGGAAAACAGTTTGAGCATTTGCTGTAAAGGTAAATCATCATCAGCAGCAGCATTTTGACGCCCACTGTTTTGCAAACAGTTATCCTTAAGGGTCCTTGTGCGTTTTCATAATCGCTGTTTAATTAGGAAATTTTGAAAAATTTTCATCAGTTTTTTTTCAAATAAAAATTGTGCATAAGTTAACGAGTAATCTTCTAAGTGTTATACCATTTTGGAATCGTTATTAAATGCGCCAACTTTTAAGGTTACTTGCCAAACTCTCATAGTACATTTTTTTCCAGTACAGCAAGTTAAAGTTGAGCAAAGTTTTACTTTGGAATACTTGGTTGGGAAATAAGTGGCAATTTTTCCTGAATGAGAAAAGTTGGCAGTAAGGTTGAGACACCAGTTTGAAGATGCATTATTCATCATTACATTGTAAAAATAAAATCCAAAAAAAGTTAATATTTGTAGTAACAGGAGTTGACAGACTGCCGTAGGGTGTGAAATTTCTATATCTTTTTCAAAGACCTATAATTTTCAAAACACATACATAAAATTTTTTTAAATATTTTTCTGATAGCTGTTATGACTTTGCCTATCACCCGGTTTCGGCTTGACGTCGACTTCTGGGACACCCTGTATATCCTACAGCTAAATGTATCAGTATGATTGTCTATTAATGTACTCACATTTTTGTTATATGAACTGCTCCTCACTATCTGCTGGTTTCCTTTGAATTCAAAATGAGGTTTGATTATAGCCTTTTCAATCTGGAGACTCCTCAAACAGTCTCCTGTTTCATAATTTGATCCAACCAGTACCATAAGCTGACCTTCAGAATCGTGACAACCAGCTAGATATATATAATCTTCCTTCTTTTTCTAAAAAAAAAAAATAAATCCATAGAACTTCAGAAAAATTGCTTCAACTTTATTTGACCAACAAACCACTAAAGCATGTTCAGATCTACACGAACCATCTCACACACACCTTTATCAGTTTTGACAAGTCTTTCCTTGATAAATGTTTGTATGGATCTGCTTTGTCCAAATCCCATAACTGCAAGTCTGATGTCACATCAGTTACACAGGTGATGCAGTCTTTTGTACCTTGTTTAAACCATTGAAGATGATCAACAGATGAATTGGTATTTAATGAATCCATGAATGCATCATCTTCACATGGCTGTGATAAATCATAAAGATTTATCAATCCATCCACTGAGCCTGATATAAGTTTGTTCACATCATCTGGGTGGAATTTTACCTGAAAAATTAGCATACAATTATTGATACAATTCTTGTTCAGGTCATAAATATATTTAAACAGATATACAAGACAAACAATTTTTACTATTTAAACTAATTCTTACCTCTGTTATAACATCAGTATGTGATTCCCAATATCCGCCTAACAGATCACCTTTTCTCACATCCCAAAACAAGGTGAAAACATCACTCCCACAGAGATCAGTCCCAACAGCTAATAGTCTGTCATTGGGAGAAATGTCAAAACAAGTGAATGGTTTCATTTGACTGCCATCTTTAAGTGTTGTATCTGTAACAAAACTGATATTGCTAAGGGGAAGGGGTATCAGGTGGGAATGCTACATTTTATTGAAAAAAGTGTAGATTTGGACAGCATATATGACTGAAGCCTGGGGAGTAAAGATTGGTGGAAATTGAGCCCTCTGTAGAACAGTAGCTGAGTCTTCTACCATACAGGTGGATGGGTTGCTATTTAGCAGGAGCATGTGAATTTGAACATTGTGCATTGGTATTTGCTTTGACAGGAAATAAATTAGATTTGAATACAGTATAAATTGAATATATTTGTAGAGATAAGTTATGAGTATCTCAGTGGCAATTATTACCTTTAAAAAGCAAAGCAGGCTTCTTCATAACCCGCATATCCCACAGATGTATGGAACCATCACTTGAGCCTGTGTATAAGCTATTTTTATCTGTTGTACTGAATTTACATCCAATTACCTTATCCTCATATGTGTGCAATGCCCCAACTTTAGCTATTCCACTCTCCCCTATAGTGTATACTTCACATGTGTAATTTGAAAGACCAAGAACACATGTTGGGTGATTTTCACTAGAAATAGAATGGTTATTATCTGGCTTTGAATATTTACCTGTCACGCTCACTTCGTTGCTGTTACGTGTAGAATGTATTCACTTGAAATGTGTTTTTCTATTGAACAAGTACAAGAAGTAAATTCGTCCAAATTGTCATCATCAGGGTCTGAGTCGCTGTAGTTCTGTTGGCTATTATCACTATCACCATGGGGCATTATTATTAAATCATCAATCATCATTCAATATGTGATTCACACTCAACGAAATAAAAATTAAAAAAACCACATTAAAACCCACCACACTTATGTTAGGCTATGTTGTTATGATAAATTTGAGGTTAGGTCTTATGTTTGCAAAATGACAGATATGTCACACTAGCGATGTCAAAAAACACAGAGCTCCTTCCCCCTGACTGATACAAATCTGTAGCACCCCAGAGCCGGACTAGGTGTTCTGTGGTTAAGTCCTATTGTCAAAAATGAGTTTATTATGTTAAGCTTATGATAAATCTAACCCAAGCGAATAACCAAAATTTCTGTGTTATGTGCCGCGGTTATAATATGGTTCAAGATGACACACGGGTTGATGACGTCAGTTACACGAATCGCTTGAACGAGTTGGTTTTAACCGCGGTTTTGTTGCTTGTTGTTTATTTTAGAAAGCGCGTATATAATCTCTGATTATTTTTATTATCACTTAATAATCGGTGCCTTTTCGTCTACAACTGTGTATGGGAAGTTTAAAAAAGAAACCTTTCATAATATTCATGGGAGAAATGTTTTTTTCAGATTTTTTTAATGATGAACCATGGCTTTGTAGCTATGATAACTTTCAATTCTCTAAAGTTTTCCGCATGTCAAAGAAAACATTTATTGATTTAGCAGAAATGATGAAAAAAGATATTAGCAAAACCGTATACAGGTGGACATCATCTAGTGAGTTTATATGGCCATATTTTAATATTATTGTGGTATATGGCTACACAGGATACTTTATTAAGCATAGGAACTACATTTAAAGTGTAACAGTAATGAGTATAACTAAAAAGGTGCTCCACTTTATAGTAAAACTGAAGTCAGCCTGTATTAAGTTTCCCAAAAATGAAGCTGAAATACAATAACAATATCCAATACCCGGCAAAATTCTAACTTGTCACATTTCAAATAATAACCAGAAATATAAACCTACTCCTGAGTTGGGTAAATACCTCAATTTTGCGGTGTTAACTGTGACATATAACAGCTGATTCATGACGTCAGTCACGCATCTTATAACCAAACTGATAACCACACTCGCTTGAACGGATCGGTAAATACCAACCCAAAATGATAAATACCATTTTCATTTGGTTATCCGCTTGAATTTGATTACTATATTGTAAATTTTCATTTGCTACTTGCAGCGTCCATCTATCTTTAATAATAAGGGCGACTTTTTAACTCATGTCAAGTCGCATGCAATACAAATGCAATGCAAGAAATATATTTCAGATACAATTATCACATCTTATTATATCTTATTAACCTAGTCTGGCTCTGAGGTACAGAAATACAGGGTGTTTCAGAACTATGGGATCAAACTTGTAGCGGTTATTCAGTGTAACAGTAGAAAGATTTGAGTATCGGAACCCATATCCGGAAAAGTGTCACTATGGTCCTAAGACGCGTTAAAATTTAGAATGACGATGACTTACCTAAATTTGTATATGATATCACAACAATTGTTCAAAATGTCTTCTTCCAACCTGAATACACCGATTTAAACGTCGCACATGCGGTAATTCATCGTCATTCTAAATTTTAACGCGTCTTAGGACCATAGTGACACTTTTCCGGATATGGGTCCCGATACTCAAATGTTTTCTACTGTTACACTGAATAACCCCTACAAGTTTGATCCCATAGTTCTGAAACAGCCTGTATAAGATCGAGTGACAGTTCATTTTCTAGAATTTTTTTAATCCGCTGGGTCTAGTACTGTTTGTAGCTATCCCAACCACAGAAATAGGTAATTCTCTAGCTTAGCTACACCAGCCTTTTTTGTTTCTCCGTCCGAATAGGCACTAGGTTTAAGTTGTAAATGAGATTAAAAATGCCCGCTTATGGGTTCGTTGCAGAATATTATTGATATTATCCGGGTTTTAAAAGGTATAAACTCCTTAATCACGACATTTGCAGATCTTAAACATACCGCGACGTTACCATATTGAAGAGTTTTAGACGTTATGTAGGGTTGTGTGGAGTTGGACGTTATACATACAAATTTAATTATTAAGAATATCCATCAACAGGAAAACCTATGGATGAAATCTGATAATATCGTATACTGTGCTATTATATAGCAAAATATTTCAGAACTTTCATTTTTGCGCTCATTTTCAGTCCCACTTATTTCAAAACAAAAATCTACACCCAAAAACTAGGGTCTGAAATCATATTTTCATCAAAAACGGCTATCCCGTAGGCTAGAGAATTACCGAAAATTTGGAAGTAAAAAGCTAAAAAGACATCACCTGTGCAATCGATTTTTTGAATAAGGAAAAGCAACCAAACGCTTTCATGGAGATTTTTGCAATTAATTTAGGTGCCATTGTACTTCACAAAACATATACACTTGCATTTTCAAGTTTTGCCTTCCCTGGGGCCTATAATTGCATTTGGCGACGTCGAAAATCCAAGTAACTTGTTGAATTCAACTTGAATATTTTGCAAATAATGTGAAAGCAGGCGGATGTTTTGTGTGGGTTTCTGTATGCTGGTGTTTAATATTTTCCTTGACAAACATAATTAATTTGGAGTTTGGGGCCACCAGGGTGTGATGAAAGCATTTCTATATCTGAACCAGAACCAAGGTAAGTAACCCTTTTTCGCAATCTTTTTCTCTATTTTTATAGAATTTTGAAGCTCTAAGTTTAATTTTTCAAATTGGAACCTACATTGGTAACAATAATAATGGACTAAAATAAATAAGCAGGACTTATAACAATCCCACAAAAACAAAGCATTGCAGCTGCTTTTTCTAGCACAAAATGTAATACTTGCTGTATCAGTATATTACAGTATCATTATGATAAAAACACAATTACCACTACTTTATTTTACATTGAATTGTAAAATTAATATAATAGAACAGTTGTCACCACCCTAAGACCATTTTAAAACTGTTTATGATGTGTGAGGAGCAATCTTCTTTGCTTTTTTCTTCTTTTCCAAAACAGACTTATCGAAAGTATGTTTCTGAAAAATAAATACATTTCAGTTAACATGTTTGTAGTGCTCCAAATGCAAAGACAAAATAGAGAGCTGGAATCTTTTTAAGCAAAACAGTTTGACTTTTTGCAATAATTTGCTGGCATTAGAAGATCTTGGTATTTTCAATTGGTCAATTCTGTGATTTCTGTAACAAGATTAGAACATCCTCAGCCCAGACTTAAAAAAGTAAGTATCATCTGCACACCTTTCTGAATTGTTTCCTTTTTAAAGGCTTGCTCACACTCTTCTGTTTCTTCTTGGCTCCACTCAGGTTGCTTAAAGATACTCTTAATTCTCTATCTTTCAACTTGACATTTTCCATTTCTAACGCTAGCTGAACAGCATCATTATCTTCAAAATTTACATAGGCAAAACCTTTTCCCATGCCAGTCCTTGGATCTCTTATAATCCTTATAGAAGAAATTGCTCCACATGGTTCAAACAGCTTCCAAAGCTCCTCTTCTTCAGCATCTAAAGATATGAAACAAAATCAGTTATTGAAAGTATAGTGATAGAATATTGGTTAAGTCTATCATAATGTTAATGCCTTAATATCCATTAAGGATTAAGGTATTTCTACTTGCACAGTGTATTTTTCACCCACACAATTTATGTTAGCTATTATACACCTACCAAAACTTAGATTCCCAATAAAAATGGCCTTGTTTTCATCAGGTTTTGTCTTTTTATCACAGGTTTCAACTCGCAGGTGATGGTTTTCAAACAGTGTTCCATTTTCCTCCTCTGCTGCCTTTGCAGAATCCTCTTCAAAAAATCTGAAAAACAAGTCACAGGACACTATTTTTATTTGTTGACAATGAGGAAGTTTCCTATTTTTTTGATTCACAATATAATAGTCTAAAGTGAAGTATGGCACTGGACATTTTTTTTATATACTTTAAAAAGTGATGAAGTTATGCAACCCAGAGGTTTCTTATTTGAAGAACTATCTGGGTGGAGCATCAGCAGGAGTATTCAGTATTGTTGTTTCTTTTGCTTTTTCTTTGATACTTCTATTGTAAATATGGTATTTTTCCCCTTAAATTTTGATTCAATTTTTTTTTTTATATTTTGTGCATAGATTTTGAGTGACAATTATTGTGTACTTGAAATGCTAACATTTGGACTTTGCCTTGGCTTTGATGAGGTAAAAACAAAATTCATTTATTATTAAAATAATAGATTGATTATTTACCTTATGTAGCAGTAAAGACTGCTCCTATTAGGATGAAATTCCTTTTTGATTGCAGCAACTCTCTTGGGTGTTCTTGGATCTGCTAGAGGTATACCTCTAAATCTAAGACTCTCAATTTCACCATACTTTTGGAATAGTGCCTTCAGCTGTTTTTTATTTGTATTTAAAGGAACATTGCCTACATATATTGTCTTTGCTGTCTCTTCTGGATTAGGTTCACTCTTCTTCTTATCTTTGATTCGCCTTTCTGCATTCTTCTGGTTGTGGCTCAATTTGACTGGTGAGTCAGGTGTTTCATCATCAGAGTCTTCAATGCCATTCAAATGTTTTGCGCTGTGTTTCTTGCTGTTTACAGTTTCATTAGATGGTTGTTTCTTTTTTTTCTTTTTTGGAACTTCTGTGCTGTCATTTGTATCATTACTAGATTTCCTTTTCGATGATACTCTGCTAGGTTCGCCTTTAGTTTTGTTTTGGTTGAATTCACGCTTCTTGTTTTTCTTATTATTTTGGGAATCCCCGGTATTGAAGGTTTCAAATTTGTCCATTGCTGATTCGAAATCTGGTAATGCACTATGTTTCTTTTTCCGCTTTCCATCTTTTTTAGTAAGCTTAGGAGCAACAGCGTTCATGTTTTGAGGTTCCGTTTTTTTCATTTTCACTTCTTTCTTAGAGATTTTCGGCTTGTTTGGAGTATGTTTCCCGGTGATTAAATCTGCTACACTTCCTATCGTGTATTCCATATCCGACTTAGCAAAAATCACAAATTGAACCAAAATTCAAATACACGCTGTTTGAAAACATGTGAAAGGGGTTAGGTTGATTTTTTGAGGTTACCTTGTTACCTATCACTGTCAAATTACGGTAGCGCTATCTTGTTTCACATCCGTCTGTGTGAGATGGCAGCATCGTCAAGGTACTTGTTGCGACATCTAGTGACGAAAATTCGAATGATATAAATGGCAGCATTGCCAAATTGCTGATGCCTAACCTACTTATACAGAAAACTGTGTCGGATATGACTCTCATTAACTTTTCTCTCGAGAGATGTCGGCTCGGGAGGAATATTTCGTATACAGTGAAAGATCAGAAGAAAGAGATTTTGCTAAGGAGCCTGATGTATTTTAATTTTCAACTAATTGTTCGATGTTCGAATGCCTTTTAGGAAAGCGAATACTTCAGAATGTCTTTAAACTGATCCAAAGGAAGTACCAGATGATATATACATTGCTTTTACAGCAGCAAACATAGAGAGTACAAATATGAAATTTCTTTCAATTACTAAATAGAAATGTGACTATGTCACTGCCTTTTCATTCACATACCTTAGGCGTAAAAGGAACAGACCAATTCAACCAACTGATTTGTAGTTGCAGTCATAATTTCGCTATATAAATAGTTATATCTAGGTACATATAAATGTAAATGTTTGTCAGCATCACGTCTGAACCACAATGGAGAGAGACGTTAAAATGGTTTTATCCACGAGCTCATCATCGATTTTGTAAGCTTCAAGTCGAAAACAGCGGGGCCTGCCATCGCGCCGATCAACCTGTGACCATCAAGCGATATAGAACATTTATTTTGCACTAGCCGTTACCCGCGGCTTCCTACGCTTGAAACGTTTACTAACAAAACATTGTTTTTAAGTAATGCTATAAATTTTCGATTACGTTTTGTATCTTTGATGGCATCTGTAAATTGACAGCCAACTTGCATGCTTGGGAAATTTGGTTAGGTACTCTATGGTATGGTATACCTATGGATTTCTCTGTATCTATTATCATAAAGAATACGACAATTAAACACCTAAAATTTATTTCTACATAATAAGTATTGATATAATGTCAATATAAATGAAAATAAAAAATTTGTGTTCACCATTTCCATTTAGAGCTTGTCTCACGCGATCCCCTCTTGGACCTTCTGTGTTCTGGAACCTCTATTCCAGCACCTGTCAGAGGGTTCCGTTCCATGTTGGATGGATTCGCACGCTGAATCCCATCTTTTTTCTTGACGATCTTCGTGGGCGAAGATTTTGGCGACGCTATTTGGGACTTTGCTGCTTCTGCTTCCTTATTTATAGCTGGGCAAAGATATGCGAGGTGTTGATAAAATTTTTAAGAAGGTACAACTACTATAATTAGAAAACAGAAACCTTACCAAGTATTAAATGTGAAGCTCGTGTATCTCATGTAAGAATTTTGAGCCTAGATAAGTACATACTTTTGTTCTACGTGTCCAAATCCAGGACATACGAGGTCCGTACATTAAGTAACGAGACTGATTTTTTACATTTCTCCATCCAAATATAATTATAATTTTATATTTTCACCCTCAAATAACTTCCTTTTAAGGCCATACAGCGCTGATGGAGACGCTTCTTCCACTCCGCATAGTAGTGTTGGAACTCCGATACTGGAATAGCCTTCAGTTGATCGGTTACCGCCATTTGAATGTTTTCGACCGCCTCAAAATGAGTTCCCTTGAAGTGATTTTTTAATTTCGGGGAGAGAAAAAAGTCACAAGGACTCAAATCAGGCGAATATGAATGTTTTTGCTGGCCAGAATCTCGTTTATTGACATTTCTGTGTAACAAGGAGCATTATCGTGATACATCACCCAGTTGTTCTTGATATTTGGTCTCACACGAATGACGGCGTTTCTCAAGGTCAAAGTGTTGAATAACCGTTTGGCCTTGAGGTAGAAACTCTTTGTGGACGATTCCGTGGATATCTGTCGATATTTTCATGGGTTCTTGAAGGCTTTGTGGTTTATCTTCAATCGACTCCCGCCCTTCTGAAAATGCCTTAAATCATCAAAACACCTGTCACTAACAATTAACACTATTTCCGTAGGCTTTCTGAAGTTTTGAAGAGTTTCCGTTGCACTGGGTCCAAGTCTGGAGCATTTTTAGAACGCAATAGGTAAAAAACATTCCCAAAAAAATCCCTACGGATAAGTAAATGATTCGAGCGAATTCAAACTTGTACTGTAGGCGGATCACATGTTCCCCTGTCTCCCGTTCAAGCCCGGTGCCTCCAGAGTTTCCAGATCTAAAGCTACTTTGTCAGTCTCATTACTAAATTTACAGGCTTCGTACCAGATTTTAGAAATAGCTGATAGTCGTAAACGTGAATGTTACGGAATAGATTAGAGATTATTTTTAAACAGGTTGGCATATGAGCTTCAGCTCCAACTGTGAACATATGGATCCGTTGTAGCCCCCATATACAGGGTGTTTTAAAATCGGCCCCTCACCATTATAGGAAGCTGTAAGACATACGAAGTCGCTTAAATGGGGGCAAAGTTCCGAATTCAGATAATTCAACAAAATGCCGCTTAGAAAGCTTTGAAATTCTATGTACTTCCGTAGAGAGATGGAAAAAATCAAATTTTCCCAAAATCGTTTTTTTTCTAACCTTATTTGTAGTGGGATTTCAAAATAAATAGCACATTAACATCGCGAAGTTTTCTCCTCTACAAGATAGCATAATTAGAATTTCAATATGACGTTTCGTCTCTTGTCGTCCGGTTTTCGTATAGACGCCATACTGGATTTTTGCACCGATGAATAGGATTTTTAATTATAATAATGTATATTATGTCATTGCCAAACCTTAATTAATTAAAAAAAAAACAGAATTTCCTAGATTGGTCTTGAAATTACCATATTGTCATTTGTTTTGCATACCAGATTTATGCCAATTTCTCTTTTATTTTTTCCTGGCTTTATTTGAGATGGGATTTTGGGATTTCAAAATAAATAGAATGTTATCATTGTTACTTATTCTCCTTTACAAGATGGTGTAGTAAAATTTGCAATCCTACATTTTTTTCGACTTCCTTTGTTTTATCATGTAGATGCTACAATGGAATTTTGTACATATATAAAATATAAATATACTTTTTAGTCCTAAATTCAGTGATGTATTTGCTTAGAGAGCTATACATTTATTGTTTATAATTATGAGGAAATAAAAAGGTATGGTGAAACCTGAACAGAACATGAACATTTTGTTAAGGTTAACAACAATAATAATCATATAAGCAGAGCTGAATCATAGCAGATATTTAAAATGTTCGTTATTTTGTAGGCATTATACATTGTTCACGGATCGATTCATTTATCTTCTTTTCAGTCTTCCAAACTCTGCTGCTATGTTCAAGTTGAGGTCTGGTCTGGTATACAAAACAAATGAAATGTGATAATTTCATGGCCTACCTTCCAAATTCTGTTTTTCTGAAATAACTAAGGTATTTTATGAAATAAAACTATTCATCTGCGTAAAAATCCAATATGACTTCCATAAACAAAAAGTTGATGCTGGAGGACAAGAGACGAAACGGCATATTGGAATTCTAATTATGCCATCTTGTAGAGGAGGAAAACAGACATGCAATTTGTTATGAAATCCCACTACAATTAGAGCCAGGATAAAAAAAACGGTTTTGAGAAAATTCGTTTTTTCCGTCTCTCCCCGGAAGTACTTTGAATTTCGAAGCTTTCTAAGCGGCATCTTGTTGATTACCTAAATACGCAACCTTGCCCCCGTTTAACCGACTCCGTATCTCTTACAGTTTCTAAGATCCCAATGGAGGCCCAGCTCAGCTTTTTTGTTGGCTTGCACACAAGAAGTAGTGAGTTTGATTTCTTCAAAACTACATACCTACCTTCTACCTCCAAATCATCTCGATCACTGATCACACTCTCCATATCATCCCTGGCGGTATCTCCAGGAGCATCTTCCATTTCTCTCTCCAAATCTCTTCTATCGACTGTATCTGAGTTCGGTTCCTCACTTATAAAGTTGTTGTTCCTGCCGTACTCGAAGACATCATTCTCCTGGTTCCTCATCCTACGTCTTATCCTCATTGGACAAGAGCCGTTCACGGAAAACATCTGCATGCCGTCGGTGATGTCGTCGTTCAAGCAGAATATGTCACTAGCATTACGCATCTTGAATTAGTATTGGTTGTGTGTAAAAAGTTAGATAGAACGGTGGTAAAATCTGATGTGCAAAATGTCAGTGTGACTGATGTGAGCTAACGCTACACATTTTCTTTAATTTTTGAATGACTTGATCTCATACTGTAACACAGGTTGATCAATATCTTCTTGCCATGATTTTGCAGTGATATATCTATGGCTGCCTTTTGTGTCTTCCTCCTCAGAAGCATATACCGGGTGTTTAAAATTCGACCCTCACCATTGGGATCTCGGGAACAGTAAGAGATACGAAACTTCCGCGAATGGAGTCCACCCTGTATGAATGCATATGGATTCAGCATTTTTTTTTAAATTGCGGCGTTCTATCTTTTTTCACTTTATTCATGAACATTGTTGCAAATTCTTAAGAACAGTATTTGTACATAAAGAAAGTTTAAATCAGAACTTATTATTATATAATTTCTTATAGACCAAGCTAAGTAGCCATAACTATAGTTCCTATCATGGTTTTTGCGGTTAAGTCACAATGTCCTACGCAATAAATAGATTAACTAATGGTTCGATGTGCGTAGCTTAATTTTCCTAAGGAACATTACACAATGCACAAGTTGATCTGTAACGTGGCTGCTACTCGCTCTTGCATGCACGTTGCTTTCACTTGCTTTCTTTTAATATAGGCTGTCGATATTGAAGTTGCGCCTTCAGGCACTACTATGCTTTATACCGAAGATCAACGTAAATTCTATATAAATAAGTTTTAGAGCAGTCGGTGACTGTGCTAATCGCAAGAAACAATGGAAACGAGAATATTTCACTGGTCCAATTAAATATACTATACTCGCTTCGATTGCCCAGACAGTCCTGGCGGTGTATAGGATCTATTGAAAAATAAATAGCATTGTAGTTTGCGTTTAGTCGATGCATAAACTGGAGGAATGTATAAAGCATCCCACAAACCGGCGCGAAATAATCGCGGCGAAGTATTCGCAACGAAATTCAGAGCGAAATTCGCAATCTGTTTCGCCTGTTTATTCATACCAAAGCGTCTTATTCGCTCCGCGAACGTGAAGGTTTCGACAGGTTGCGTACATTTTATTTTTGCCTTTTGCAATGAGCTCGTCTTCAGAATAAGAGGAGGCACTTCTATTTCTTGCTTTAGAAGAGGAACCAAATGCACGGTAAGTTATGTTTATTTAACGCCATTTGATAGTTGGGTATGTATTAAGTTTAACGAAGTACATAAAACAAATATTTTCAATTTTGTTTAGGAAACGAAGGAAGTGGGTACATGATATTAACTTGGAACGAAATAAATTTGGGGAATACCATACCTTGATGCCACAACTTCGGCTGGATGAACAGCGCTTTTACGTATATTTTAGAATGACTCCAGAGTGCTTCGATGAAATATTGAACTTGGTGAAAGATGAAATACGAAAATCTGACACAAATTATCGTGAAGCTATTTCGCCAGAAGAACGACTTGCTATTACACTCAGGTAAAAAATATAAATATTGTAATAATTGGACTACATGTCGCCACTAGGATTAAATGTTGCTAAATAATTCGAGGCAGAATTTGCCTCCTCTGTTGGGTATATTATTGGAGTAAACCCAGTGCCGCTTGGGAAGGACGACATACTACTATCATACATACTTGCAGAATTCTGGGTAGACGCTGAAGACATTTCTTCAATATGTTCAAATTCTTCGTGCGCTATTAATTCGGCTATTTTTAGTTTTATTCGGGCTTGACGCTTTAAGGGAAGTGTTTTCACAGTCTGTGCATGTGCCAAGAAAAGTGAATCAATGGCCTCGTTCTCTTTTTTAGGTTTTTTACCTTCAAAATAATCAATGAGCTGTTGTACAGACGAAGATGGTGGTTCATAGCGTTTTCTGCTCGTTTTATATTTTGGTGTAGTTGCAGTCTGCGGAAAGGTGTGCCCTGGAGTAGTCACTGCTGTAGTGTTCAATGAAGAAGGTGGTGCTGTCTGTGTTGCCGTGGCGTTCTGTGCATCTTCTGCATCTACATCAGCATTTTCATCTTCTCCATGGCCGCGGTCTTCCAAATTTTCGGTTTCTACATTTCCAGACCTTTCCTGATATATATTTGAGTTAAATTCGGCAGTCACATAATGTATGACGTCAATATCTTTCACATTAGACGACGTTTTGGCAAATGCCAAAAAAGGACGGAAAAATTCCATGTAGTCAGCCCACTGCCATTTCCTTATGTTGCCCACTGCTTGGCCGGTCTTTGGTTTGGTAGATTTTATATATTTTGCAAATGTGTCTCTGATATTCTTCCACCTTTTTTTTTACTTCATCACCTAAAAACGATTTTTTTTATAGATTTCTTGCCACTGGTGACACCTTCTATACCATTGGGCATAGCTTTCGAGTTGGCTTTACAACAGTGAGTGCAATCGTAACCGAAGTCTGTGAAGCGATATGCAGACATATGGAGCATATATATTTACCAGAACCAACAGAGAATATATGGAAAAGATGTGCTGAAGAATTTGAAAATAGATGGGGATTTCCCAATTGCATTGGCAGCGTGGACGGAAAACATGTAACAATCAAGAGACCTAACAACACTGGCTCCAATTACTGGTGCTATTTACATAAATATTCAATAGTACTTATGGCCATTGTTGGCCCGGACTATAAATTTATATGTGTTGATATTGGTAGCTTCGGAAAAAATAGTGATGGGGGTATTTTCGAAACCTCAAACATGGGAAAACGATTTGAACAAAATTTAATGAGTGTCAATGCACCTAGATTTCTCCCTGGGCAAAATGAAATCTGCTCGTACGTCTTAATTGGTGATGAAGCATTTGCTTTAAAACCATACCTTATGAGACCATTTCCTTATAAGCAGACTTTAACAGACGTCAGAAAAGAGAAATTATTTTAATTCTGATATGCCTATGCCCAATCTATAGAATGTTCGTTTTCACATTTGTGTAGACTGTAAATTATTTAACAAGTTAATAAAAAATATTAGGTACATACCATTTGTATTTAATTCTTTTCCTATTTCCATCCAAATCTTGTCTTTCTTTCTCACATTCCTGTATTCATCGTTCGACAAATCATACAAACAAGGATACTTTTTCACTATTTCTATCAATAATTCTGTTTTTGCCATTGCGAATTTTTGAAGAACGGCGTCAAAAACGCGGTCAAAGGCGAACTTAAATACGCCGCGATAAAAACGCTGGAACAATCGCATTCGCTTCGCACAAGTCTGAGCCTGTCCGTAAACCGCCGCGTTTTAATCTGATCGCGAATTCATCACCGCGAAATTTTCCTCAGCCAAAGCGAATATTTCGCGCCGGTTTGCGGGATGCTTAATTCTGTGTCTTGTACGTTTGGTTGTTGATCTATGACCTATTTTTTTATTTATTGTCACACAAGTATGCGAAACGATGACATTTCAAGTTTGGAGAATTATATGAGAACGTAATAGAAAAAAAAAAAAAACGGGACCAAGTTAGTTGACTAATTGATGAAATTTTGCCGAATTTTACTCTTCAAGCTTCCTAAAATTTTCAGAATTTTCAATGTTTTTAAAGTTTCCATAATTATCAAAATTCCTCAAAAAACTTCCAAAACTTACAAAATTTTCAGAACTTTTAAAATACTCAGGTTTTTCAAGGTTATCAAAATTTCCAAAATTATCATATTTTCAAAATGTTAAAAGTTTTCAAAACGTCCAAAATGCTCAAAATTAGATTCGAAAACATCAAAAACTGAAAAAATTAACTATCAAAATTGCAACACCTAGAGATAGGGACTTATCCAGAAATCATTATCCAAGAAAGTGGATCGGAAGCTTTGGCCCTACCCTTTGGCTACCAAGATTCCGGGCTTAAATCCATTGGGTGTTTTATTTTGATTGCCCTAAAGGTACGGTGTATCAAACAGCAGTGATTTCTATAATACAGTTACGAGTAAAAATCAAATAGGCCTCTCATTAATTTATTAAAATTTTCAGAATTTTCAATGTTTTTAAAGTTTCCATAATTATCAAAATTCCTCAAAAAACTTCCAAAACTTACAAAATTTTCAGAACTTTTAAAATACTCAGGTTTTTCAAGGTTATCAAAATTTCCAAAATTATCATATTTTCAAAATGTTAAAAGTTTTCAAAACGTCCAAAATGCTCAAAATTAGATTCGAAAACATCAAAAACTGAAAAAATTAACTATCAAAATTGCAACACCTAGAGATAGGGACTTATCCAGAAATCATTATCCAAGAAAGTGGATCGGAAGCTTTGGCCCTACCCTTTGGCTACCAAGATTCCGGGCTTAAATCCATTGGGTTTTTTATTTTGATTGCCCTAAAGGTACGGTGTATCAAACAGCAGTGATTTCTATAATACAGTTACGAGTAAAAATCAAATAGGCCTCTCATTAATTTATTAAAAGGTGCATATTGAACTCCTAGACTAGATCATTTAATAAAAACTTACCATTACAACAAAACAAGACGATCCTCCTTTAAAACTGTCGTGAAAAGAAAATAGACAATAAAGTTTTATATAACAGCACCAGTCTAAAAATCGCATTGAATGTACAACTTTCTGAAGTATTTCGCGGGTGATCCTATTTCATTCTTTATTACTACAGGGTGTCAAAGTAAGACCCGGCTCAAAAAATTGGTATTTTTAGAAATGTCAATAACATAACTAGACTAGACGGAGAGTCGATTTGTGCTAAAAAAAAAATTGGTTGCTGTATATCTCAAATCTATGAGATCTTTGACTAAACATGGTAATCCATTTCCAGTTGCAGAGTTATCCTTCAATTCCCGGTATATTGTGTATAACATTACCTATTTCAACTCCATTACCATGCCATAAATGATGAATAACGTTATACTGTCTCCGGCGTATATACCTCTTTTTCTTAAACTCCTCCGGAATATTTACGCAATATACATAATGAATTCGTTGTTGGAACTCCTTCAGGCGATCTTCCTATATAAGTTTCCATTTTAAAGTTGCCTGCTTCCTCTCATCCTTCCACCATGTCGGATTCTCTTTCCGCCTGGAGCGCAAAGGGTTGAGATGACGTTCTGCAAACAAAGAGACGAATCTCGAGCGCTTCCTTAATTAATAAACTTCTACTAATGAAAGAAATAATTAATTTCTGCCTACCACTATGCCTTCCAGACGCCATTTTATCTCTGGTAACGCTCTGAAACTGGCGAGAAACTTCAGCATCGTTCCCACCCCACAGCAACTTTCCTTGTTGTTGACTAATAATCTGAGGAACTTATGTTATATTGTTCAGCGACAAGAATGGCGTCCAGATGCCAGATTCAGTGCTTAAGAGTAAGTAGTTCGTATATATGTAAGCCCCAGAACAAAATCAAAAAATGGTGTCAAATAGATTGACTCAATACTTATTAAGCAAATGAAGCGTTCTAAGTGTCTTTTATGCTGTATCCAAATAACAACAAAAGAAGAACAAAAAACATAATAAAAAACCTTAGTAGGCCAGTGCATAGGTAGATTTTGATAAATAGAATTCTGTATAAGACAGAAAATGTTTTTGGTTAGAATATTGTTTTCTAATGATAAGTTCAAATTGGGCTGGGACATTTGCCGCCATTTTCAAAATATCTCGTAAACTTAAATTCCATTTAAAAAAATGCTGTCAAGTAGGTCGATTCTGCACTTTTCACGCAACGCCGTTGTCAGTTCATAAAGATTATGTTCTCAGAAAAAAAATCAGTCAAGGAGGTCCAGACAATTAGTCCTTAGACAATCTTTCTCTACCACACCGGTAGTGGATCTGGAAACGTTGCCTATCGCCGATACTTAACCCCGTCAGACGAGTCAGCGCGGTCAGAGCATAGGAAACACTATGCTGTGACGCGGCAGGCATACCTGTAATACCATACCAGAACAATAACAGAACAGTCACCAAGATTGACAGCAGCAACCGCAGCCGGTAATAATATTTTTCTAAATCTTAAGGGCTTAATGTACGAAGAAATCCATGATGAAGTTTGTGTAATAGGTGCGTAGAATTATCAAGGATGTGAGCGTATAAATGTACTAACGTCACAACCAATCGCCGTACAAAACCCCAGCTCCAAGTTTTTTTACCTCTAAAATTTTTTCATAAATGATCAGGATTCTTTGAAACATCAAAATTCGAAGTTTGAGCTTTTATTATTTTTCTACCTTTTTCTCTGCCGCCACTGGACCGATTTTCAACTTTTCCCTCCTTCGTATAGTAGTAACGTTGTTTAATAGTTTCATCGAAATCCGAGCGGGACTCCTCAAGTTGTAGATGGTTATAAAATTAGGACCGACAGACAGGCGTTTTTGAAATTTTTCGGGATTATAATACTTCCTCGCCAGAAAGCGTAAGAAGTAACAGTTTTTCCCTTTTAATGGCTAAACTAACAATCTATGCGTATAGAGACTGCCATCTTTTTCCTAGAGAATAAAATTTGCTACATAAAAGGTATTTTATCGACAGCTAGACCTTTCTAGAAGTATAGAAATTAAAAGGAAAAAATCCGTATCAAAACAGTTGCGCGGAGGTTTAGATGTTACAGGGAAGCAAAAATGTAATTACTTGTAAATTTTTCGTAAACGCATGATAAACTTGTACATGACCAAAATGATCTAGAATTAAATCCTGTACAACAATGGTCTCGTCATTTTTTATGAAAGATTGATAATTTGAGATATAATGGACTAAACGCGTTTATCAAAATGGCGGCAACATCTTTAGCCATATAATGATGCCAGTAGCGATTTTTTTATTACAAAGCAGTATTCTAAGGATATCAAAAAGAAAAAAATCTGTTGCACTTTCTGTGAGAAAAAATACCTCCTCCCTAGAGCTTAGGTATATAAAGATTTCCTCAAGTGCTTGTGATTTATTTGACTGTTGTTAAAGTGATTAAGAAGTTGAAAAATGAAGCTTGGAGAAATTTTTTGCTATGCCACTAGTAGCAGCTAGATTATTTTCCAAAAGCTACAAGGGTTTTTCCGTCAGTAGAATAGCCAAGGAGTATTAGACAATTTCTGCTAAAATGAAAGCTGCCATTCTTTTAATTCATTTATTTTTGTCAGGATTAGATGGAGCGTTGAGACATTGCTACGCCGAAGACGAAAATGCCTTGTAGGTTTTTGAAATCAGCAGAATAACGATTAAAAAATGAAGCATATAAAAACGACCAAACCTGGTTTTCCGATGTTTTAGAGCTCCCTGATCCTTTTAGAACTATCTTTGGTTGAATTTAGAGGGCTATAGACAGTGGGGTTGTAAATCTTGTTTATTTGACACCAAAAGAGACGTTGTGTTATTAAGAAGTTTTCACCCTTGATTCCTTTCATACACGTGGACATATTTCACCCAATTTTTATACATATTGCCTTTTTGATGGAAACATGATATTTTCATTAGCTTCAAACCTAAAGTTTTGCGATACATCGCTATCGTAATTAATTTATTTGAGATAACGTTTCGATTGAATCTGAGCCTCAAACTGTTGTATAGGTGCGACGTTAACCTTTCTTCCTAGAGAAGTTAGTCTTTTTTTTTTTTGTCGATCGGTTTGGCATTGGAAGTTATCCATTTGCCACAGATGTGTGTTACTATTGATCTAAAGTTTAATTGTGAGCTAAACGTTCATTTTGATTCTTTGGAAGAAGTTTACCAAGCAATCTAGAATTTGCTTGTCACCTATGCTTAAAAGGGAGCTTATATTGGTGGGGAGTTGATATTTGGATTTCAGTATATCAATAAGAACTATGCGTTCTTGATTGTATTTTCCGCAAGCAAAAATAATATGATTTAGATCTGCAATTGATGCACTATCGCAATCGCATACACAAGTATCCAGAATGCCTATTCTATTGAGATGAGCAGGAAATCTTCCATGGTTTAGCTTCAAACGAGTGATGGTGACTGAATAATGTCTATTTACATTATACTCAAAAATATGTGGTATTTTTTTAGGCAATGTAGGATGGATGAATGAATAATGGTTATTAGATAATTCAGCAAAATGATTCCAGTGCACTTCCCATTTTTTTCTTATTTCCTTCTTTCCAGCGTTGACTACATCATAGTATTCGAGTTTGTTATTGGTAAAATTTGTTAGATTGGTTGCCTGCTTTGCTAAGATATCCACAGCCATGTTTCCGGTTATCCCAGCATGACCCTTTACCCATACAAAATGAATTATCTGACCTCTTGTGTTTAAGTCGTAGAGGAACTTTTTGATTTTACAGATGCTGATTGATTTTGAAAAGCTACGAAATGATAAATTGCTCACTGCCCTTAGAGCTGAGGAAGAATTATATCTCACGTCCATTCCGAAGATGTATTTAACTAAGATAGTACGCTCATGCGTACTGCGCGCCACACATTTTTCAGATGAATAGTAGCGCGAGCGCGGATATGTTCTTCCCGCTCGCCGCCGTCCGCTGTACTGTAACTGCCTCCCCGTTTCATTCGCTTTTATGTGTGCGTCGCGTCCACACGTGTAGTTTCAGTGCCCGGCTCCGCCACAGACGAAAAACCAATAGTACAGGTATGATAGTATTATTTTGCTATTCACGACATTCATAGAATGTTCTGTTACATCAGGATAATACGAAATAATGATATTTTTATTGGCACAGTCCCAGATTTTTCTTTTGCATTTTCTCAATTTCACGAACAAGGCTTCCTAGTTTATTTGCTGTGCATTTAATGTTAATTCGAGAAAATGAACTATTATATACTAATCACGTTAAAATCGTTCTGGTGAGCAACTATTTCTCCACAGGGCTTATTTTACAGCATGGGGAAACGCAAGAGAAGCCGATCCAGCGACAAACTATCGCGTAGAGACTTACAAAAAACAATTAATGAGCTTCGCGATAGACTAAACAGGCAGGAGCGAGATCGTAGGTCCCATTCACGTCGGCACAGTCGAAGCATTTCTCCGAGGAGGCCCCGCTCTAGTTCGCGCAGTCGATCCTTAGCACAGGACCGTACTTCGATAAAAAGAAGGGGGGTGCCAGATTCGGAGGATCGTAACCACAATTATACGACTCGGAAACGTCGAACTTTGGACAAACCGACTTCCGAATATCAATACTCTAGGAATTCATCGAGAGAACGTCGGGTTTCGCACAGCCCAACTTCCAATCGATACCAAAATCCTAGAAATACATCGAGAGAGCGTCGGGTTTTGAACAGCCCGACTTCTTCACGATTTTCAAAAGAAAAAATAGACCGACGTAGCATGAGCCGAGCCTCGTACGACTCGGCGAGTGTCACCAGTGGTAGAAGCCCGGCATCGAACTGTCCGGCTATAAACCAAGACCATCCGGAACTGGATGACCTAGATACACTCGTACTCCAAGACGACATAAATTTACAAGCTGAAAACACTGAGAATGAGGCGGAGCAACTTCCAGAGTGCATTAAAGAGGTATTAGGCATTGACACTGACACAGAAACAAAACAGTCCTATCATCTCAATGATGCTATAAGACAAGTTTGGTCACAAACAATAGCCCAAGGCATAGGAAAGGAAAATATGGATCAAATTTTGGATCGCCATAGGCCTCCCAATAATTTTCCTACTCTTGATCCTCCAAAAGTCAACCCGGAAGTTGCTCACATTCTTTCTCAAGCATATGTTAAGAGGGACCAATGCCATGCAAGATATCAGCTATTGGTGGGAAAAAGTACAAGTGCGCTTGGCAAATGCATGAATTATGTCATCAATGAAATCAAGAATAATGTTGATTCTGATCTAAAAATGCACTTGCTACCACATCTAGCAGATGTGGGCACATTCATGACCCAGCTATTCCATGAGATCTCGACGACCCGTAGGGAATATATTTCACAACTTCTCTCCAAATCGGTGAAAGATACCATCAAAGAGACTATTCCGGGGGAATATCTATACGGCACCGATTTGGCAGAAAAGATTAAAATGGCAAAAATTGCAGAAAAAGCT